TTTTTTTTTTTTTTTTTTTTTTTTTTTTTTTTTTTTTTTTTTTTTGCAGTTAAATTATTGCACGATATATTTCTCTAAAAATCCTTTTTTTTCGTATGCGACTTGTTAGAATTTTTAGAACTCAACACTTATTTATGTGTATGTATATGCACTGAGTTTTTTGTAAGTATTTTTTTTTTGGTAATTTCAGTAATATTTTTTTTTTTTTTTTGAAATATTTTAAAACTTGCTTGCACCACCAGCTTTTTGTTTTTTGTTATTTTATTTAATTTTTTTTTTTTTTTTTCAAATATGTGTGTATGTATATTTGGATTTATTTTGCACCACAACTTTTTATGTTTATTCAAAATTAATTAAGATTTTTTTGTTTTTCGATCGTACGGGGGTACGTAGATTTTTTATTTATGTTTTAATAATTGTGGCTGTTCACCAAAGATTGGCTCTAGTTTAGCCTCGAAGGACCATAATCAAGTCCACAAGGACTTGAGGGGAAGTAAGGGGATGCCGGCTGTCGAGCGGGCCCACAGTTTTAATAAAAAAAAACACTTTTTTTCAATTTAAAATGGTTCACAAACTTTAATAAAAAATTCACTTAATTTAGTTTCACAACTTAATTTACTTTTACACAGTATTTAATTTAAACTATTTTTTGCTAAATAATTTAGTGTAAGAGACCGCGGTTTAAGGCTGCCGTGCGCGAGCGATGGTTGTTAGACTTAGAGTGTTTTTTCGTTAGCTCGAACGGCCGCCGCTAAGCGGTCGATCGGCTAACGAAATTTGGCCAAAAAGGATAGAGGAATTGGCGCGTGATGGGACACACGGAAATAGTGGGAAGAGACGGGCAATTCCACGCGCACGGCAGTTACATTTATTTAGTTTTAGATCGCTGTTTAAGCAGACGCTTAAACAACAACCGCTATATGCTCTTAGAGAAATCATGAACTCCTGGATAACACTGAATTGGTTGTAAACTTTTAACTTAATTAATAGGGATTGGAGACGAAGGCTACGTCGGGTGTAATCGTTAGAAATTCACTGCTCAATATTAAAGTTTAGTCGGAATATTAATAACTTTTGCTCAATAGAATATAAACTACTATCCCTCCGAGCTTTCTCCCTTCGGCACCGCCAGTCAAGTTTAAGCCAAATGTTGGGGTGGATGACGTCAAAACTCCAATTTTTATTAACCTTACATCAACTTTCCAGCACTAAATAGCGCCAACGGGTTCAAACCAGACGTAGTATTCGAGCTACTTCATGCGATCCGAGTAATATTGCCACAACTAAGGTGGCTACTTTCTACTTATCCAGACTCCGCTCTAAATATCCATCTTATTTCCAGTATGCAATAGTTCTCTGCACGACAGTAACCACTCCTCTACCAGCCCATGAACATCATTTACTGGAGAGCTTTATTCTTTCTGCTCCTAGCGCATTGAAAAAACTTGTATTGGCGCCGGGTTACGTGACCTCAACGACATCGTTTAAGTTTTATTGAACCTGGCGGCCAGTTACCGTAATGACAGCTAGAATAGCCGCAGGCTCACTGTCTCCAACTTTTCAGAAACATTTGATCCCCGTGTACGTCAAGAAATAGCAGGGCATAATTTTTAGCAAACAATTTTTATACGATTTTTACAATTATAAATTACTAAAAATATATGTAAAAAAATAAAATTTTCTTGCAGCAAATACAAGAAAGACCACCAAGTGGTCGGTGTGTTCATATCACGAGATCCCCACTTCCTGATCTTAGATCCGAAATTGGCGCATGAAATTTTGGTGACGAATTTCAAATGCTTCAAAGACAATTTGGGCAATAAATTTGTAAGCAATGGAAATTAAGAAATAACTGAAAAATGTTGTAAAAGTTTGTTTGTTTATGTTACAGCTCTATAACAGAGAAGAGGAGAAAATGGCGTCAGTCAACCCGTTCCTCAATGTGGGTGATGTATGGAAGACGAGGCGCGCGGATGTGATTGGTGGCGTAACGCAAAATAAGGTATAAAATTAATAAAACAACCGTCTCCAAAAAATAATAAAAATATGGATTTTGCGCAAGCTATTCAGCTCTCCTTAGCTTATCCCATTTGGAAGAGTTGTGCGCAAAAGCTCAGCAATCTCTTGAAAGCGCAAACAGCCAAAGGCAATTCCATAATCGAAACAAAGGACGTAAGTACATTTATGCTGTGATCAAGCAAGCGAGCTCATTAACTCTCTCATTCAGCTCGTTACGCGCTTCACGTCCAACGTACTGGGTGAATTTCTATGGGGCATTGAAACCAACACGCTGGCAAATCTAGGAGAACGAAATGCGTACCTGAAAATGTGCCACAAAATACCAGAACAAGTATTCCAATCGTTCATAAGCTACTTTAAGTTTATAGCCTTTCCCTGGTTCCGCCGTTTCAGCAACTATCGCGTATTCCCACTTGAAGCGGAGCATTTCTTTTCACAGCTCACGAAAGACGCTTACGCGCTGCGTGATCGCGATGGGAGTAATAAGAATAGAGTGGATTTCCTTAACTACATAAGGCAATTGCAGGATAAGAAGAATCTCACACATGACGAAGTGGTTGGTTACTTGGGAACCGCTTTGGCGGATGGTTTCGACACAGCGGCCTCGGTCGCCTTTCATGTGCTGTTCTATGTATGTGTGGATAGCCCCTTGGATTCTGAAAAACTTCTAAAACTAATTTCCAAAATATTTCCACAGTTAACTCATCATCCTGACAGCCAGGAAAAGGCGCGCAAGGAAATTTTAGAAAATCTCGAGTCTGATGGCACTGTTTCTTATCAAACTCTCTCTGGTCTACCTTATTTGGACCATTGTGTGCAAGGTACTCACCGCAAGATCATATTTATTTTCTTAATGCAACAATTTCTTTTTTTCAGAAACCCTTCGCCTAATGAGTCCACTCACGTTCGCATCGCGCATCTGCACCGAGCCCACCGAGCTAGTGTTAGATGACGGGCGTCGTGTACCCATCAAGGTGGGACAAATTGTTACAATACCTGCTTTCTCGTACACGCACGATACCGAGTATTACGCCAACCCATCGCAATTTCAACCTGAGCGTTTTGAAAATGTTGACGTTTCGGAATTGACGAAACGTGGCATTTTTTTGCCCTTCGGTGATGGGCCACGTATTTGCTTGGGTAAGTACACGTATACTTACTTACTTACTTACGGGACTTTAATTGTATGAAAATCGGTTGTTTTAGGACGTCACATGGCTCTTTTGCAAATGAAAACCGCTATTGTTGAAATACTTAAGGGCTTTCGCTTGAAAGTCTGTGATAAAACTCCGCCAGAAGAAAGACTGGAATCGCAAACTCTTATTCTTGGTGTCGAGGGAGATCTGCTGTTTGAATACGAGAGATTATAAAGCAAAACAAAAAGTCATGAGATTTATATTTTTATATTTCAACATCAACTGTTGTCAATCAATGAAATATTAATAAATACGTGAAAGTTTTATCTGTTTTCCTTGCGGTTAGTCGTTCCTTCCCTTGATGATGGCTGAAAATTGAAGGCACCAACTGAAGCCCAATCTATCACCCTCCACTTACCCTTCCAATGGAGTAGAGGTCTTCCACATCCTCTAATTCTCCTAGCCGGTACTACATCGAACACTTTGAGAGCTGGCAAGTTTTCGGTACCCACCCAGACGAGATGACCTCGCGTGGGAAACTACTATGTGTTAATTCGTAGAATGTGCATCATTTTGGGGTATACGTAGTCAATTAAGTTCCGTAGTTGTTATGCTCTTTGCATCGGTCATCTGATTACCTCTTTGGTTTGCATTTCAGCCTTTTTCTCTCTGTCTACAAATGCATCCTTCCATTCTACTTTGGCTCTTCGTACCAGCTTTACTTCCAACACTGTCGAAGAATAGTTGCTTCTCTAGTGGCATTGTTTGGACGCAGTACTAAACGGAGCGTTTTCTAAGCTCATTTGGTCAAATCGTATTTCTCTTCCGTCGGAGTATGGACGCATATCTGCGCTAAGCTCAAGTCTTGCCAGAATTCGGAGACGTCTTACCATATATCCATCATCTAATTTTAGCTCCTTTATTGGCGGCTGGAGTAAACGAGTGGTTAGCATTGCGTACTGACAGTCGGAAGGTTCGGGTTCGAATCCTGGTGTCATATTAACATCCAAAAAGTTATTGGAAAAAAAAACAAGACGGAAAACCACAGATAGAAGGAGGAGCTCGTTCGAAAATCCCTTCAGCATTTACAAAGCGCAAAATAAATATATACACGAGCAGAAGGATTATTTTACAAAACGCTCGTATTTCTAAGCAAATATCGTGAGAAAATGTAAACGTTAAAATTTTCAAATCCCTTCTTTTCTTGCTCTGACAGTCGACTTATCATTGGCATTCTCCAATCTCTTACAACTTAATAGAAGCAAAAGTATTTTTGCTCATAAACATATTATAGAAAAGGTCTTGACCTCTTGGGGACCCTGTATGTATGTATACGCATAATTTCATTTATTTGAATCGTCAAGGGAAAACAAGGTGAACAAAAATATCAACGGTAAAGCCATATGGTGAATTACTCCTTCTTATCTCATTTGTTTGTGAATTTAATAATTACACAAAAGTATACATAAATCATAACAAAGCATTGATAACAGCACAATCATTATGTTGGAATTCTTTATATGTTTGCACGAGTAGATTTATGTCAAAACAGAAAAAAAAATCCAAATAGGCCGCAGCGCAAATTTTTCGACAAATGATTGATTTGCCATAAATTAGTCTGTGCGCACAAAAACTATAATCATATGGCGGCGGCAACCAAGTGGTTAGCATATATAATATTATGGTTATAAACTACATATTCTTTCATGGTAAATATATTTATATCTTATATTTTGTTGTTTTCTGTTCCCTTTTATTCAATTATATAATATTATTATTATTTTTTTATCGATGAGGCGACTCTTCAACCATTGCAAGATAAATATATATATTTTTTTTCAATATTTGTTGGGAACGGTTAATTATAATATCTAACTTAAAAACTATTTAATCAAACTCAACTCTCCTAAACGACATTTTCCAAATGTTCTTAGATAAGAACATTTTTACATATCTTTCTTTAAATGTTAACCAAAATCATTTAATTTGCATTTAAATTTGTTTAGTTTAATTTTATTATTTATTTATTTTATTTTATTTCGTTTTTTTTATTTTTATTTTACTTTAATTTATATTATTTTATTTAATATTATTTTATTTTATTTTATTTTATTTTATTTTATTTTATTTTATTTTATTTTATTTTATTTTATTTTATTTTATTTTATTTTATTTTATTTTATTTTATTTTATTTTATTTTATTTTATTTTATTTTATTTTATTTTTAATTTTCCCTTTCCCTTTATTTTTCCTAAAATTTAAAAGGGACTCCTTTGAAAAATCAGCAGTTACGTCCTTCTACAATTCACTAAGCATATTTGAGCGCATTTACAATTTGCCGAGTACACGTGTGTTTAAATTAATAAATGGAAAGTAATAAGAAATACCTTATCATTTTACATTTGTTTATATAAAAACATGCATATGTACAATATGTATGCAGTGAGCCTGAGCAAATGAAATTCACTAGGCATTTTCATTTGTGAGCATAAGCACAGAGATAATAAGTGATTCGGCTGATAAGTGGTATTTATTTATTAATTTTATTCGAGATTAATAAAAATTTGTGACGCTTCTGGTTACTTTCACGATAGTCTCAACTCAACCTTTCAGGCCTGAAAGTCTATCATGATAATCTCATTTGGAAATCCTTAAGGCTTATCTAAAAAAAAATCATCTAAGTAACCGAGTTCCAAGTGAATCCACTTTCCGAAAATATTTTTTTCGTATAAACCTTCCCATGACCCGTGAAAAAACTGACCAGTCCGTAATTTTTGAGATTACTTGATGTTTGCAACCGAACACAAGAATTTTATAAATATATTGTAAATATATAGATGATACATTCGATTCCTTTACGGCACCACTCTTAATGTACGCTCATATAAAACTGAAAAGTTCTCCAAAAGCGCAAAGGAAGAGTACTTTGAAATTAACACAAATACAAAGACAATGCCATTGCAATATTTAATTAATTGCCCTTGGCGTCAATGACATTTTCATTAAACTTCGTCACTCAAAAGTATTCGCAACTCAAACTTTCACCTGACTGACCAATTACACACACACACTCCTATTACATCCATATGAAAACAAGGATATAGCAACCGTACAAGGATACAAATACCAAATCAAAAGGACAAATTACGAATTAGGAATAAAGAATTTTTTGGGTTGTAGCAACAATAGCAGTAAAGCGTTATGTAAGCAGAAAAAGCAACAGCTGACACAATGTGGGCGACACTTTATACCCTTATCTGTAATGGTTGCCTGTGAGTTATATGTTGGATTGTGTGTATCTACATATGTACATACTCGTATGTATGTATGCTTATACTCGTGATGTCTGTGTGTGATTGTCTGTGTTGTCTGTGACTGCACGTCAAGTGTGAGGCAAACAAGAACAAGCCAAGTTCCAATAATGAAACTGCTGACAACAAACTGACATTTACAAATGTCACATGCAATATTGAGCATACACAAAAGACAAACTTAATAAAAAGCCACCGTCGCCACCTCGAAATACATGCTGCAAGACGACACAAGCGCATATATATACAATATGTACGTGCAACACACGCTCACACTTGGACCGAACAAGTGGATAGACAGACGGATAGACAAGTCAGTCAAGGTGGAGGAAGGTGGATGAAGGCAGTGAAGTTTTTCTCTCACAGACATTACACAGTCGTGTTAATCAGTATATACTACAGTTATAACGGTAAACGTGAATGTGGTTAGAATGGTAAGGAAACAAATAAGCGCAGCAAAGAGATAATGCAAAAGGACAGTCAAACTTTTGTGTAAAGCAAATAGTAAATAAGATATTGGAAACGATAAAGAGGTAAAGAAGCAGAAGAAGAAAAGGAAGAAAAAGAAGAAAAAGGAGAAAAAGTAAAGGAAGAAGAATACAAAACACTTCAGAAAGAATAATAATAGAAGAACCTCAAATAAAATGAATTGAAAAATGGCAAGAAAATCACAGCCCGTGCCAATATTTTGCCTCCACCTGCCTCCCTACCGACGGGAAAGAACGGTCATGGATAACATCACAGCTGCGGCGTTCAAAGTTAGCCGAAGAGCAGAGCTTTGTTACACACTGACTTTAGATACGCCTGCAAATATAATGGCATGTGCACACGTTAGGCAATGTGAAGTATTTGAGTAGAGTACGCGGATCTCAACTAGAATTACCGTTAAATTACAAATCATCACACCAACATAGAACAGCCTCCTTGGTATTACTTGATAACACTGGACTTAAAAATGGAACTACTCTGCCCACACCACACCTGGAATCTCTATGTTCTTTTTCTTCTTCTTCTTCTTCTCCTTCTTCTTTTTCTTCCTCTTATAATTCTTCTTCTTCTGCTTCTTTCCATTAATCTTCTCCACCTTCATCTCCTTCTTCTTCTTCCTCATCATCTCTCCGCTGTTCTTCCGCTCACTTACCTAATCGTTATCCTTACGTACACACGGTGACAGTCCTTCAGGCAATTAACTTTGACTAATTGCGGTCAGCTTAATTAGGAAAAAGCACTGCGGTTGCAGCTCACGAGTATCTATCGATTGTAATACAATGAGAGGATAACGATGAACACGTACATATGTATTGAGAGTTTATCTACACGGCAAATAATGTAAACGCGCTGGTATTATTTGTGCAGTTTATAAATTTTACAATTGTCTTTATACCAACGTGTGTGTGTTTGATCATCATTGCCGTTGCTGCAGTTGTAGGAGTAACTTTTGTTGTTTACAATTGACACTTTTTAGGTTCTTATCACTTGCTAAAGTAGCTTCTTAGCGAGCAATTAGTCAATGGTTGTCATTTTACGGGAGACAAGAACACAAATCCTTTGTCAGAAAAATAATATAATTAAAAAAAGTATTTGCTCTTTCGAGTATTTAACTCTTAGTTAAAATAAAATAAAATAAAACCGTTAATACGCCTGAGGAAAGAGAGAAACGCAGTGCAATCCATCGATAATCGAGAGCGAAAACGCAAAGTTTTATTACAAGCTCGACCAAATTCCTTACCCAGCTCCTTAGAGACATTGATGGTGAGCCTTTTAAATTAATACCGTACTCTATTCGGTAAACTGACGTTAAGCAACACCCAAAGCTCTATCAGTATAGCGAAGGATCTCTCTTCCTTAATTTATTATATAATTGGCTCTTTGTAACAGCTGAAGGGATACTCAGACGAGCTCTTCCTCCAATTTGAAGTTTTGCGTTTTGATGTTTTTCCAAAAACTGTAGATACCTACAGTTTATGCTAAGACGCCCCCGATTTTTTTGTGAGGAGCTTTTGATTTTCATGTCAGAAAT